GGCACCTACCTGCAAGCCCCTGAGGGGAGCCGACCGGTGTGGAGGGGTTTGACGAGAAGTTATTGCTAGAGTGATCGGGGGAATAAATCTGGAGCGAGAGAAGCAGGGCACGGTCAGCAGCGCCCAGCCCCGCCATGGCTCTTCCCCTCCCCAGCAGCGCTGGCAGCCCCGGGCAGACCACCCGATGGCACCTCCCTGCCCAAACCCACCTCAGCCCCCCAGTGCCCCCTATTAACACCGGGGTCTCTGTCCCCACTGCCCCCACCCCTACAGCCTCCGTTCTTCAGGTCTCACCTCAGAGGGAAGCGAGAACCCCAAGAAATGATTGCAGGGTGCAGTGCTGGGCACAACTCTGCCACCACAGAGAAGCAAAGGTCCATGCACTGGAAGGACAGAGGCAACCCCCAGCTCTGACAGCCCAGTGCTGCCCAGTCTGAACCAGCACACGCAGGGCCAGTACTACTGGGACCTGCAAGTCCTGCCATGAGGACTGCATAGGGTCATCTTGCCCAGAGCAGTACTAGGCTGGGTGGCTGCAGTGCCAGCTCATGGGCATGAGTCTGCGAAGCCACCGTAACGTCCAGTGCCTCAGTTTCCCCATCTGCCAAAAGGTGCTTTTGCACAGCACCGGGCCTCAGGATGGCAGCAGAGAGAGGAGAGAAAATCCTCCCTTTAGAGGCTGCCATGGTTTTGGGGTGCATTCACCCAAACTTCTCAACGTGTCCATCTTCCCCACTGCCCAGAGGATCCCTGTTACGGAGGGGAGGTCCAACGATGCGACAGGACAGGGAGAGGGTCAAGGATCCACAGAAAGTCTTACTGAAGCTAGTGCCTTCCCGAGCGCGTCTCCTGAGCTCCCAGCTGTGGTTCCTCTGTTACCTGCCGAGAGAGGACACAGACATCACTGCCAGGGCACCAGACACCCGCAGGACATGGCACCTGCACGAGACCTTCCCAGGGGTCACCCGCTCCGAGAATGAAATTTCTCACTTTCACTGCTTTGCTTGAAAATTAAATGGATGCCCAGCTGGGAGCAGCCCAGACGAGGGCACACACGCCTCAGCAGCTCTCAGGCTGTGCAGGAGGGTATTTTGAAGACGCGGGGCCGAAGGGGCCATGCCATCAACAGCGACTGAGCGTCTCTGCTGCAGCATGGCCCGTTTTCACGGGGCATCTCAAGGGCACCCTACAATTGCAAACTTGCTCCCCTTCCTCTAAACAAGGGGTTTTCTAGGAATCAAGGTCAGGATCCTCATTTCCTGGGGAACGAGACTTCATTTCACCGACAGGTTTTGCAGCAGGTTCAGAGATTAAAGCACCTGGGGGTTTAACGTGGCATCCAAACGCAGCACAAACATGACTATTCCAGATTTAGATGAACGGCTTCACACATACCCCCACCTTCCCACAACGCAGATGCAAATCCTTCTCGCAGCTCATTGAAGCCACGGCACCTCCACGAGATAACGTCTCCTCCCAGACCCCCCAAACCAGGTGTAAACCCCCGCGCCAGCACCCTGTCCCCCTGCTACGGCCTGCCCGGGCAACCAGTGGCAATAACCTTGCTGTGCCTCTTCCTCACATAGTAACTCCATGCACAGGTGACACACAGGGATAAAAAATGTCTGGGTACATTGGAGACAGGTATCACAGCCTCGGGCATCAGAGGTTTGCACAAGACTTTGATTTTCCAGCTAAGCCTCCGCACGGCAGCTCAGCGAGGGAGACCACGCCGGGTACCAGCATGTGCCCGGGGCTGGACGTACCCATCAGAGTGTCCGTCCCGCTGATCGGGGGCGTGTGGCTGGAGACACCGTACGGCGTGGAGGCAGAGGAAAAGCCAGACACGGAGGGGAGTCCACCATTAACCTCTCCTGAATGAAGCTGGTAGTTCTGGCAAAGAAGGGAAGGAGAAGGGTGAAAGGTGTCCTCAAAAGGTGGCCAGGCTTTGGCGCCCGGGCCAGGACCCAGGTCCTCCCTCT